TAGCTGTCTTTTCTTTTTCAACACACTGAGTATTTGATACTTTCCCCTCCGTGTAGCCACCATTCTGATAACCGTCTGAGAACCGACCTCCCTCCCTACATGGGTCCCCGGGTGTCACAGAGAGGTAAAGGCAGTGGGCCCGGTACAGGAGCTGGTGGAAGGCTGAGTGTCAGGGTTATGCCCCTAAACACTTCTAAACTCATTGCTGTAAGAGGACAAAAATAGACAGACACAGTAAGTACAGTGAATACTTGCAAGGAGACCTCACAATCTCCAACCTACTCTGAGCTCTCTCCTTCTCCCCTCTCCATTTATTTGGTTTCTCTCTATCACAGATTTGTTACATCATCTCCTCCAAAGACAGTGGGGACACACATGTTTGATTGGACATTGTTCTTAATCACAGGATGCACTGATTGAACAGGAAGACAGCCGATCTAACAGGAGGAACAAAGTCCAGTTGTTCCTCTGTTTCAGCTGCCAACATGGAGTGTTGTCTCAAGGGTCATTACTGTGGTCAGCAGACACCATTATATGCAAAACAGCTTGTGCTTATGACGACACACTTCTTGCTAACACACAGTTAACCCAATTACATGCACACTCACATATGTAATTCAGAGAATGCATGATAACTATGGAACATAATTCTAACACTGAGAGAGTCTCCAGATCCGCCGTTAGCTCCCCGGAGTTAGCGCAGGCCTCACGCTAGCCGCGCTTCTGTGTCGGTGTATTTTTAGCCGCAGAGCACGGGCGGCGGGGGTTGAGTCAGATTAAAGCTGACTTAAACTCTCACAACCTGACTAAACAACATGACATTAAAAATCTGTGCGCTCAGCGTGTGTGTGTGTGCCTTGGCATTCAAATTCATTTCAAATTTACAGTAGCTTTTATTCTTAGATCGCCAGTCAGTCCTAACTTTGTCAGCAGGCAGCAAAAAGAAAATCTGCACAAATGTTACTTGACTCACATTAGATTAAATAAAAATGGCCCAAAGTGGTTAACTGTTCCATACTGAATATAATGTGTCTCGGTGGAATGCCATTCAATTTTTGCTGATCTATAGGAGCCTAAAGCATGTTTTTGATGAGAAAAAGATCCATGAATAACTTTTAGTGTCCCCTTTATAGGGCACTTGGAGCAGCATAGAGGGACGCCCTCTATCTGTTAAAGAGGAGTTGGTTCTTTCCATAATTACATTGGATCTAAGGGAATATGAATTGATCTGGATCTTTGTCTTGAGATTACATCGTTTTATGTTAATTTCTTATCACCTTATTGCTTTTGATCTCAAGTTTTACGGTAGAGGGATGGTTGATTTTTCAGTTAAAGAGAGAGTAGAGACCACCACGTGTTGGTAAGTAAACACAATAATGTTGTGGACATACACAGGGATTCCTCATGTGTAAAGTGTAAACTATGCATGGATTTCTGACAATGACAGCTTTTACTTTAATCAATATCATTCATTAATCACTTAAATATGTTGTGTGACGTTCTTCTTAAATTGTACCAAGCCCATACTGAGAGCTCTTCAGGGCCACAGACTTTGTAGTCATTGCTGTTGTTGTAATTATTTCATTAGATTATCACTATTGCCACGCGGCAAGATTATTTCACATTAAAGCTAACGTTTGAATTCAGAGGCGGTACTTTTTCAACATTCACCACGTAATGTAACATGTTTCCCATGCATAATGAAAACCAATTCATTTTCTAACCAGGATTAATATTAACAGCACAGTAGCAGGAGTTCAACCGCTGAAGTCACAGAAGAGAATTGTTTGCCACTGTGGAGACAAATGTGTTTACCCACAGACCTCAGCTTGATTGCTATTCAAACAGGCAGTCACAATGCTTATTCACTGTGGAAATGTGACCTACATTTTGGCAGGGAAGCTGAGCTTTGAAGTTTGAAATTAGACTGGGGAACTTTTCCTTTTCCTTTTAGATGAAGGCGACTTATCAAACACTTTTTTTTTTTTACGTAATTCTTAATATCAAAGCTTTTTGAAGACTCAATTAGCCACATCTCCACTCCTGTAATAACATTCCTTTAGTTTTAGAATTAATAGAGGCTAGAGAGGTCTGAGATATGAAAAGGCTGGTAATTTTTTTTCACGCAGGAACATTTGTCAGGTATGTGGCTTGTTTTTAAAGCATTGCAGCTCTGTAAATGATTTAATTTTTCTTTAAACATCACATAAAATACAGGTTTAAATGCATTAGTCATTTACCTTATTGCTCAGAGCTAAAAGATTTACAATTAGTCTTCACATTTTTTTTGTGTCTACAGAGGTTATATTCCAGACATGGGAAAAAAACAAAAGACAAAAACATAGTGTTATTGTTTTATTTTTTTCTGACTAGTCTTTAAATGCTCAGAGGCAGAAATGAGAGAAGAAAATATTCTAAAATTAAACTAATCTACCGACAACATTTCTCCTGTGCTACTGGTTCTCTCATAGAAATGAGATTTGGTCATTTTATTACATCAGACAAGCAAACCAGGCAGCAGCCACATGGAATAATGATGTGATCTGGACAAAAGCTAAGAAGCAGCACATTACAGCTATGAGACAGGTCATTTTTAACAGATGCATGATGATAGGTGCATAATTGAGATATATTTCTCTTTTACCAGATCGCTGGCTGCCTGATGATCAAAACAGTTCAATCTAATGGAATAGAAATGCGTTCAATAGCTTTGGGTCTGCTGCTCCCCAGAGGTTATTGATTCATATTACAACCTATCTTTGTTCAATTACCCTTGATGTCATATTTCATTTGACAGTAAATGGGAGCCTAACTTGTGTCTCATTTGCTTTGCTCTGATTGGCTAAAGGTTAAAGGGTCAGATACTCACTAGAATAAGATGGTGAGTAACAAATGAAGTAGGAATATATGTGTTTGGGTATGTGTTTTTGGTTATTCCAGTGTGAGACACTCCTGGCAGGCTCCCAAACCCTTTTAGTGAGAAAAAGGCTTTTGTCTGGTCAATTTATCATATAAGACTGATTTCTAGCTGTACAGTGATTATCATTCTTCAAAGCTTCTGTCTCAACAAAAGGATTCAGGCCCAAATCTGGAAGTGACGGGTAATGGAACGTGTGGTGCTCCCTGACCATTTGTGACTTTAAAACCTCTGTATTTAGAGTTTTCGACTTAGTTTTTTGGTTTAACATTAAAAAAGGCAAATGGTTCCCTCTTAAAGATACAGCAGAACAGGTCCCGGCTCAAACACTACCATTCTACCGTTGTAAGCCAGAGATTTTGTTCGTTGTAAGCCAGAGATTTTGTTCTTTCCCAATTTCCCCTATAAACCACCTCATACTCTCATTGATGTCATTCTTTCTCTCCCTGCGGCCCGTGGATTCATTTCACTTGTGATGAAATGAATCTTGTCATCGCTATTATCCCGGCTGGTGACTAGAAATTCATGGGAAAAGGAGTCAGGTCGGACCTTGTCAGGGTGGGAGGGGGGACTTTACAGGGTCAACTCCACCTCATATTGTGCCAGTCTGACATTTATTCAGTTTCAGGTCCTACACTGGATACATTATTCCAAAGCTAAACTTTGAAAAAAAAAAAAATACAAGTGAGACATGTGACAGATGCTCTCTGTCACCAGCCTGTCAGACGTAAATGTTTTTTCCTGTCCCAGATTAAATGCATTCTGGTCCTCTTTCTGCAATACTTTTTCAAAAGGTCTCAGAATCCCATTCTTTCCTTGACTGATTCAATCCCCTCCTTAGATGATTAAAGTAGATGGTTCAAATTAAGATACACTTATGTAAAAAAAAAAAAAAAAAAAAGGGCTATATAAAAAAGGGGGGATACACTGACGTAACTCTTTTTTTAATTGAATCATTTTTGCTTCTATTTTTTTTCCATCAGGGTTTTGAGAGAGGCCAGTGGTTGGTTTGATGATTTGGTGGTCGAGTTTCAAGCACATGTAAAAATTGTTATAGTTAAAAAAATTTCCAAGCATTTCAGATGCCTCCTCTAAATGTCACTTTTTTTTGTTTGTTTTGTACTTGTTGTTTGGTGGTTTGGTAATCGTTCACCCCTCCGGTTTCCTTGTTGAGGGGGAGAGAGTCGTGTTTGCTCATTGTTCACATTACTCATTGTCTTTTGTTTGTATGTCAATTTCTAATTTAAGGGTGTGGGGATGGGTGAAATGTATCCTCATTAAAAGACAACCCAATAAAAAAATAAATTAATAAAAAAAAAAAAATAATAATAAAAATAATTAAAAAAGAATATATATATATATATATATATGGAAAAAATATTTTGGGGGGTTTACTGTTATAGTTTGGTTACACAGTCAGATAAATGATAGGGTCAGCTGAATTTGGGATACTTTAAAAGCTATAAAAGTGTTCTCACATCCATTTGATATTTTCCTTTTTAAATGAAAGGATATTATTAAAGCCATAAAACAATTAAAAACCACTCAAAACATTTCCTACTCTACTTCATGGTCCTAAGGGGACCATGAAATATCAAATATCTCTCACAGAGAAAATATATAAAACCTAGAAAACACAGGGTTAGTAACAGGGTGTCTTTGGATATAAGCCAACGGCATAAATACTCCTGCAAAAAACAAAAATATGAGTCAAAGCTGATGTGATGGCACTCTGACGAAAAACCCCAAAGTGAGAACAACACAGAAAGATTTAATAGGTAATTCTGTCATTTATTGGGAATTTCCACTGATGTAAAGTTTAATCAAACTGACACGATCTGTCTAAACTGTCTATCGTGTAACCTACAGGGTTTTGTTTCATGAATGTTAATTGTATAGGCCGTAAACAGATCAAAAACAGGCGCCATATATTTATTTATTTATTTATTTATTTATTTATTTATTTATTTATTTATTTATTTATTTATTTATTTATTTATTTATTTATTTAATAGGAAAGTGTTAAATCTCGATCCACACTCCTTACCAGTAGGTGGCGGTAATGCACCTGTAAGATGTTTGTCGAACGCGCAATGGTAGGGTGAGGAAGTTTGTCCTTCCTGGCTTCCCGTTCTACGTCACTGTATGTTGACGTGTAGTTTGGCTTCGGTCTCGTTAGCACGGCGGCGGTTAGCTTACGCTTCTGGAAAGTGGGCGCTTACAGGAAAGGTAACGGTTGGCTTTCTTTGCTTTGACAAACACCGGAACTTTGGACAATGGCGGCGGACTGGGAAGAAATCCGTCGGCTGGCCGCTGACTTCCAGAGAGCTCAGTTTGCCGACACCGTTCAGAGGTAAAAGCCCCCAAAACCCCCGTTAGCCGCAGAGCTAACGGTGGCAGTTAGTCTGGATGTTTGTGCTAGCTTGTATTCCCCGTAGCAGCTGTTTCTGGCTGTTAGAAAAGCACCCGTTTTGGACGTGGTTACTAACGCCACTGCTGCAAACTTGTCCTCAGGCTGTCGGAGAGGAACTGCATTGAAATAATCACCAAACTGATCCAAGACAAGAAGCTGGATGTGGTGCACACGCTGGATGGGAAGGAGTACATCACCCCGGCACAGATCGGCAGGGAAATCAGGGATGAGCTGTACGTCCATGGAGGTTAGTCCATCCGAATAAATAACATTTCAAATTCAGCCTGTGTCCATGGAGAGAATGGACTCAACATTTTTAAATGGAAATGACCGTTAATAGTTGCTGTCATTCTTTATTAAGGACGGATCAACATTGTGGACCTCCAGCAGGTGTGTACAGAGCCATGTGGGTTTCCATCTGATGCTACTCAGAAATAGTCTGTGATTATTTAATTCTGATATTCTTATTTCCAGATCATCAATGTGGACTGGGTCCATGTTGAAAGCAGAGCCGGGGACATCGCAAAGTCTGACAAAGGGGTTCAGCTAGTCCTGGGACAGCTCATCGATGAGTGAGTTTTGGTTTTTATTTAGTTTTTGTTGGACCTCTCCATAGTGTCTGGTTCAAAGTTTCAATTAGACCTTCCATGTAGATACTGTATGAAGACCAGCAGCTGTTTGCTCATTTGGTCAGTTTCTGGGATAGAGATCATTGAAATAGCACTCACCCCCTCACCAGGGTTAATAATATACGTAATGTCATTTTTCTGTTGGGTTCACACTTCTCCATATGTTAAAAATAAAAAAGTGTGGTTGAAATGAGTAGATCAACATCAAAGTCTGCATTTCATTCATTAGATCCAGTAATTATGAATTAAAAGTGTTCACAGTTAGCACTCTGGTCCAACACTTTCTTTAAGTATAATAAAGCATAATGTGGGGAGTGGAGATGTTAGAATCTTTTTTTTAGAGATTTAAAGCAAGGATACGTTTTTTGGGGGGAGTTGTAAGTGTCTCAGGATGTGTTCGTTTAAACTCCTCCTTCACCAGAACTCTGAAATGATCCTAATAAGACGTTAATTTCTCGGTGTTGTGTCTGGCTGCAGTGCATACCTGGACCGGCTGGCTGAGGAGGTGAATGACAAGCTCCAGGAGGCGGGTCTGATCAGCATAGCAGAACTGTGTAAAAGCTATGACCTCCCTGGAGATTTCCTAACTGAGGTTAGTCACTCCTTTGGTGCTTTGATTCCATTTCCCACATCGGAGCTAAAACCCTTTTAGGCTTGCTCAAGCTTGCTGACTTAGTATTTTTAAGATGAAAATTGTTCGGTGTGTTGCTCCTTTTGTTCAGGAGTTATCCAAACGTCTTGGAAAGCTTGTCCAGGGAGAGATGGACCAATACAACAGAGGGGTCATATTCACCTCTGCCTTTGTTGCCCGTCACAAAGCCAGAATACGGGGGCTGTTCAGCGCCATCACCAGGTAAACGGCGCTACTCGCCTCACATTGTTTCAGATCCATGTCGATGTGGAGTTTGCTTCTCTAAATGTTTTCTAACATCTAACTTCCCTGTTGGAGCTATTTATTCTTTATTTCTTTATTCATTTGAATTTTGTTAGTTAATTCTTAAATGTATATATTTTGTATTATTTACAGTATTTATTTGCAGGTTAATAATTGTTGATTCTATTTAATTTCTTGTCTTATTATTTTTCTTATTCATTCTTTGAGTTAGACAGGAAGTGGGTCATGTGGGTCAGTCCATTTTCCTATAAATATAGGGGCCTGGTAAAGGACCAGCAAGGCATATGGGTTTGGGGCCTATGGTTTTTACCAGGGCAAGAGATCAGAGCAAGGGACAGAGCAAGCAAGAGCCAGAGAACAGAATGAGAACAAAGGAAAGTTTGAACTCTGTAATTGTTGCTAAAAAGAACCAATAAACCTTCAAGAATAATCAAGAAGTTTGGATATGAAATCTTTTGCCTGCGTACAGAAACTGGACCCCATTGCCTCTTAGTGGCTTGAGGAACTTTTTTTTGGGATGTTTGGTTTGACAAAAAATCGCCACTATATTCCCATTAAAAGAGATCCGAGTTCAGCTAAGCACCTCATCTGCTCCATCTTTGTTACCCTGCCACTCTGTTAATCCCTGTTTCTCCTCTGTTCTGCAGGCCTACACCTGTCAGCAGCATGATTGGAGCCTTTGGCTTTCAGGAACATCTTCTGTATTGTAAGGCATCCCTTCGTCGTCGTTCGTTTGCAGATGAATAACAAGTATCCCACTTTTCCACTATAATGGAATATGACTTCTTCTGTTGGTAGCTGTTTTGGAAGAGTTGGTGAACTCTGGACGCCTAAAGGGGAGCGTGGTGGGCGGCCGGCGGGACAAAGCGGTCTATATTCCAGACATCTACGCCAAAACCCAGAACGCCTGGGTGGACTCTTTCCTCCAGCAAAATGGGTATTTAGGTAGGCTTTGTGGAACGACGTGGGAAAACGCACACCCTGTAGAAATTCTTACAACTTGGGATTCATTTAAATTCAGTCTGTCAAATCTGGTAAAAGGTTTTTTCTATGAGACAAAGTCACGCTGTCATCAGCCTTCTCTCAGACCTATGCAGACGTTTGGGGTCAGTTGGGGTTTTGAGGTTTTTAGAACTGCTCACCACGTGCCACCACTTTGACACAAACCAGTTCTGTGCACATTGGTACCGGTCACAGCAGACATGAAGCCAGCGAGATGTCAGTGAGGCTGAAGGAGGGTGAGGACTAGTGGTGTCCCATTGGTGGAGCTGCCGGTGAGCATGTGGGAGCAGCCAAAAAAACGGCAGCCTGCAGCTCAAAAAGACCAGCACTGGGAGGGAGACGGTCAGCCATTTTATGGCCAAAGTCTAAGGGAGGGGCATCAGACCTGTAGATAAAGCCACAGGCAGTATGTGTGTGTGTTACCCTCAAAAATAAAAAGAGCTGCTTCCGGCCTTTATGTTGATGCTCTGTGTAGAGTTTTACTGAATGCTGGTGCTAAATGCCCCCCCCCCCCCGCAGAGTTCGATGCGTTGGTGAGACTGGGGATCCCCGACCCTTGTAGTTACATCAAGAAGCGCTTTAAGTCCAACAAGCTGCTGTTCCTGCGGGCGGCCTGTGTGGGTCAGGCTCTGGTGGACCAGGTGGAGGCTACGGTGGAGGAGGCTGTAAACTCCGCCACATGGACCGACCTGCAGGTCAGTGGAATGCCCGCCGTATACATATCAGTCGTTAGATGGTTGGAGAAGTTTAACGATTGGTCGAAAAGGTTCTTATTTGTTCTTTGATTGGGTTTCAGCCAGTTCTGCCCAGCTGCCTGTCAATGGAGGACATGGGGATCCTCATCAACCAGGCTATGAGGAACACCAACATCCAGTCCTCCGCCCGGCTGCTGGGGGGCACCGTGGTGGTCAGTGAGAAGTTCATCAGCAACTGCCTGTCTCTGTTTGACGAGGCCATGCAGCAGAAAGCCAAGAAGGTACCTCCTCCTGTCACACCCCCCCGTCAGAATTCTCTTATTTGGTGCGAAAACACAGCACATGACTGTGTTTGGGCCCTCTGAGTTTTCTGAAATAGTTTTTTTTTAGGAGGTCAAAAACAATCCCGTCTTTCTGATTACCGAAGAGGATCTGAAGCAGGCGTCCATCCTGATGGAGAGCTCGGCCCCTTCCAAAAAGGACAAGAGAGAAGCAGAGCGCCGGAAGAAGGCTTCAGGTAAATCCTTTCTCAGCAAACGCACAAACACACTGTGACCTATGGCTGCCTCCTGTATCCTGACACTAGGGTTGTCAAAAGTATCCGGATTCAACACTCATTTTCAAAAGTATCAAGACCCTCCCCCCCCAGTCGACGCTGCGCCCCTTCTTTCTAATTTATTTATTTACAAACACTGAATTAAACTCTATACATAATATTATGTTAAAATAGCGTGTGTTAAATAGGTTGGTACAATAAGTCCAAACACCTTTAACCACAAAATATTTATTTCTCACAATTATGAAGGGTGGAAGGTTAGAGTTAGGGTCATTAATGCGGGCCACCGGCCACCATAACATCAGTAACAGGTCAGTGTGAAACGAAAGACACTAACCTGTCAAAATTCAGCTACATTTTGGGGTCTTTGTTTTTATCCTTGTCGTATCAAAAATGGTATTGAGTATCGAATGTTTTTCTGAGTATCAGAATCGAGTTAAAAATGTTAGTATTAGTAGATACTAATTCTGTCTAGAGTTGATAGAGGTGATAAGAGCACACCTCGGGCAGCGGATGGGACCATGATGGAGGCCTCTGTATTTCAGACTAGTTTAGATTCATTTAAGATGTAGTCTATCCACATTTTGAGGCCTTATTGAATGCTCTGCTGACAACAGCTCCCTGCTTTCTACCACACGACCTCATGCTGAAATACAGAAGTCCAGTTTTTTTCATGTCCCCCTCCTGCAGTGACCTCTGCCCGAGAAACGGCTGTAACTCAGGTTCTCGGTACAGAGGGACAGTGAATCTGAGGAAGTCTGGGTGGGGCTTGGTCTGTGCAGCGCTTTGATCAGACATCGTGTGTGTGTGTGTGTCCCACAGAGGGCGGTGGCGGCGTGAGGGCCGGAGGAGGTAGCAACGCCAGAGAGATCCGCATCCGTAAAACCAAGAAGAAGGGGAGGAGGGACGAGGACAGCGATGAAGAAAGCGGATCCTCACAGCCGAGTACGACTACAAAGCCACTCAATCAAAGCCACCGTGTCTCAGAATGCACATTAAAGCTGCTCAGTGAGGCCCGGTAACTGTACGGGAGTCTAACGGCTGCCTGCCAGGGAGTTCTCCTCTGGGTTGTTCATCATTTTTCTCCACGGATGACAAAGGTAACTGAAGTATCCCGGAGAGACTAATTAGTTTGTGTTTTACCTTTGCCAAGATCGCGGCAAACCGACTGAAACCCCCTTTATGGCCCATGAGGAGATCGTCGCCGTCTTAGAGGAGAGAGTGAGTGACTGCCCTGAAGAAATCCTGTCCGAGCTGGCAGAGCATTTAGAAAGGTAACGCAAAGCTCTCTGCCAGAGCCTGCTCTTCTGAGCCCACGCCTCTCCAAAGGAAAGCTCCATTAAACAGCTCTGGTGATGTCCCCGCAGACCTCTGACTAAAAGCTATCAGGAGGTGCTGCGCACCGTCTTCATGTCCTCCACCGGCTCGTCTTCAGGCTCCAACAAGAAGAAGAGCGTAAAGGACCTGCAAGAGGAGATCTCCAATCTCTACAACAATGTCCGTCTGTTTGAAAAAGGCACCAAGCTGTTCTCTGGTAAATCCCCCTCCACCCACTCATCTCTATAGGTTCTTATCTTCAAAGCCCCAGATCTTCACATATCTGTAACAGAAACCTGAACAAGCTGTATGATCACTTTTTACTTTGAAAGATTGTTATTGGAAGTTCAGAAAATAGCTGTTTAAAAAAGGGAATCTGCATCTGACCCTTGATGGATCCCTTGTTTGTCCAGATGAGACCCAGGTCAACATCACCAAGCACATCCTGAAGACCGTGTGCACTGACGTCACCAACATCCTGGTCAACTTCCTGGCTGCTGATCTCATGATGTCTGTGGAAAACCCAAGCTCCATCACCAATGAGGTCTTTTTTGGCTCCCCTCATGATACTCGCATTCACATTTTTTTTGTAATAGTAAAATGTCCCATTCTCTTAACTGCCAACCTCCTGGAAACGGGTCGAATGCTTGAAATTCAAAAGCAAACGTTTATTAAAAAATTAGATGAGGCTGTATCTGGGGTTCAGTCCAGTTTTTATCATGCTGGGTCGTGGATGGATTTACCATTGAGTCATATTGAAATATTATATGTGTGACAAGCTTCGTCTTGAATGTCTCTGGTGTGCTGCCACAGGTCAGGATGAAGATTTTGGGTAAGCTGTCCGAGGAGACCAAAGGGCCTCTCATGAAGCTGCACAACTGCTTGAACGGCAAAGTAAGTTTTTTTTTTTTTTCTGTCAGTCAGATCTGATATTTGTTCCAACTGAAAAGAATCCATTCAACTTTCCTAACTAAATTGAAAGCTGGGCTGAAGTGCGTCCCTCGGGATGAGAACCAGGCATGCTCAGGGAGAACATGCAAACAGCTTATATGAAACCTGTTTGGTGTGTAGGGCTTAGTAGAGGCTTAGTAAACCTAGTAAGCCTACATAACCGTTAGCCTTTCTTTGTACTAACAAACTTGTTGTGGATGATAAGAATTTTGAATGAACTTTTTAAAACAGCAGAAATGTATATTTCCTTTCTTTTTGTGTGATCAAACTCCACCTGAAGCCTCTCCTCTCTTCACTGCAGACTATTGAAGACTTTCTATCCAACCTGGAGACCTGTGCAGAAGTGTGTGGCTTCATGTTGAAGAAAGGAGACAAAAAAAAGGAGAGGTAGTGGAAATGTGTACTTTTTTTACACGCGTTCAAATCCAAACGAATGCTGACGACATAGCGGTGTGCGACTGTGGTTCTGCTCCAGGTTTCTGCCTGTTAAAGGAAGTTTTTCCTTGCCTGTGTCGCCTAGTGCTTGCTCATGGTGGGAATTGTTGGGTTTCTGTAATTGAATTCAGAATAGGGTCTGACCTGCTCTGTTTGGAAAGCGCTGTGAGACAACTGTTGTTGTGATGTGGCGCTGTATAAATCAAATCGAATTGAAATTGAATGGACCGTGTGCCCCAGACAGGCTCTGTTCCTGCACCGCCACGCGCTGATGGAGCAGCTGAGGGACACGGAGGAGCCGGCCCTGGTGCTGCACCTCACCAGCGTGCTGCTGTTCCAGGCCAGCACCCACTGCATGCTGCACGCCCCCGGCCGCTGCGTGCCCCAGGTCATCGGCACGCTGACCGGACGGATACCCGCGGTACGCCGACCCGCGCTGAGTCAGGGTTAGGGTTAAGGTTAGGGTTAGGGCCATTTCCAGCACACTGCATCTCACACTGCTAGCTCACAGCCAGAGATGTAGAGAGTACTGGAGTAGAAGTAATAGTACTGCATAAAAGAATTGAGTTGAAGTGTTCTTTCAACACCAGACTTAAGTGGAAGTACGGAAGTACTCAATTTTCTTTTTTACTTAAGTATTGCAAGTAGAAGTGTTTCAAAAACTGCTCCTCAAGTATCAAAAGTACAAGTATAAGTAAAAGTACAAGTACTGTGTATATTTTAAGAAAGGCAGTAAAAAGTTTGATAGATATTGTTTATATTATTTCAAACGTGAGAAAGGCCATACAGGTGTTTACAAAAAACTGAAAATAAAACACAAATAGAACATCTCAAAAGGCCAGAGGGGCGAGTTAAGCCTGGTGGCGAACCTTAAGATAGAACAGCCCAGAAGCATCAACATGAGGCATCAAGCTCTTCCACCAACAGGCTAACCACGGCCTCCAGGTAACCTAACCAGGTTTATCTCTTAACCAGCGACTTGGAATTACCCCAGTAGGTCACAGACAATTTCGCAATCTTTCAATCTTTTTTTAATAGGTTATGCTTGATTACTCAAATCACCCAATGAGGAGCCAGCTTCATAAACTGTAACAGAGCTATCTACAGCTCTGGCTCTGACACTGTGACTGGGGATGATTCATTACGTTTACATATGAGTAACCAGTAACCATTCAGCACATGAAAGTATTAAATTAATCAAAAATATGTAGTAAAGTAAAAGTAGGGAAAAAATATATACTCCAATAAAGTACAGATACTGCATTTTGGTATTAAGTACAGTACTTAAGTAGTTCTACTTTGTTACTGAACATCTCTGCTCACAGCTGCTTTTAGAAGCTGGAGCCCTGATATCTGAGGGTGTCTAGAATAGAGCAGATGTCTGATTATTGTGCTCTACCAGGATGAAAAGCTGTGACTTTTCAGTTCTGCTGCTCTCTAATGAGAACCCAGCTGAAGCAGAATGAGACGCATAGCTGGCTGAATCTCATCAGACGTAGAAAACAGGTGTGTATTTCCATAAAGCAGCACAGCCGTGCCCGTCAGAGTCTGTTAAAGCAGACGTGTGTGGTCCAAACACTAAAAAAAGGTTTGACGGTAGAACAGTTTAAGCGGGTTTTCAGCTGCTCTCCATCTGCTAAGGGGCCGGGGGGGGCGTTGTGTAGCCGCTGAGCGTTGTGTAGCCGCTGAGCGTTGTGCGTCCGTGTGCGTGTGCAGGAGCAGCAGCAGCTGCTGGCGGCCTATCAGAACCTGGTGGTGAAGCAGCTGGTGAGCCAGAGCCGGAAACAGGAGGAGGAAGAGGAGGAGGAGGAGGAAGAGGAGGCCAGGGGGGTGCGCGCCCAGCTCCAGGCCCTGACCCCCCAGGTGAAGGAGCTGGTTCTGTCCCATCGCAAGCCCTCCGTCACCGAGGACTGACCCCCGCAGGGAGAGGGAGGATAGAAAACCTGATGTCATCCGTTAGTTTTTGTTCCCGGTCTTACGCATTAACATTTCAGCTTCTGCTGGGAACTCTGTAATACTGTGATTGAATCACGTGGGTTTGATTTTTAAATTATTGAGGGAAATTCCTGTATGGGATGTAAAGCCCAGTTAACATACAAGTCCTCAGTGAGGTTCTGATTTTCATGCATTCATTAAAAGCGCCTCTATTCCTCTTCAGATCAGGTTTTTTGTTTTTTTTTGTGGTCCCACACATTATCTGAAGCTTCATCCTGGAAAACCCAAGCAGCTCAGCTAGCTTAAACTAGTGGCTAGTCCAAGCTAGCTAGCTTAAACTAGTGGCTAGTCCTGTATAGTTTATTCCTCACAAGCACAGATTGTTTTTAATAGAATAATTTTTTTCTCCATGATTAGGTTGCAGATTTTAACTAGGTTCAGATTTTAAAAGTATATAATCTCCATTAAACCTGGCTAACTCATTTTAGCCCTTAATGTGCAGAATTGTCCCGCTGATACGTTTTTTTATATATATGTATATTGGAAAAGAAAATCAAGGTATTAATCAAATCATGCTTTGCACATTTGCTCTAATAAATTGATGAATTTTTCTGTAAATGGAAACTTGGAGTCAGTCACTAGTGAATTAACATCCCTGTGCTGTTAGGAAAACCAGAACCACGTGGTCCTATGTCCACCATAACCTCATGCAAAGGGACAGACTGAAATAATGTGCAAGAAACTGAGAACTCAGAGACGGGCATTGGGAGGAGATGGTGGCAGTGATCCTAAAACAAACTTTAATGGCTGGACAGTGAGGTTGAAAGCCTAATCAGTTATTAAAATCAGGTTTACCCCAAAAGCAGAACGTGCAAGATGATGGGTCTAACACATGCTCACAGAAATGGGGGATTTTCAGCTAAGGAACAGAACTCATTCTCTCACTAGGATTTCTCTCAAGAGCAGATTCCGCTGTTTTTGTCTCCCTCCAGTTGCCAGTCATAGAATCACAGAACAGTGCCCAAGACAGAACTCAGCAGTTTAGCCTGTTAATCAAAACAGCAGTAAAAAGTATAAAGAAATATTAAATGAAAAACGCCCCATCACATCTGATCCCAGACAAATCGGTGCTTTTTGTGTCCTTAATCCAATTTGATGAATTGATGATGGTCCCTGTCTGGAGCACTGGCATGTGGGAGAAGTCAGAGAGCAGCAGCAGAACAACATTTCTTCATTTACAAATCCATCCTTCCACACGGGGCCCCGTGCCGGTCCGGGGGGGTCAGCAGCACCGCCTCAAAAGGGTTCCTGGTCCGAATCCCCGTGGGACCACAGGCCTTCTCCTGTGTGGTTTGCAGGTCCTCTCTGTGTCTGCGTGGGCTTTAGAGGACAAAGGTGACAAAATCCCTTACTGTCCAGAATAATACACCCTGAAATGTCTACAGAGCTTTTGAGTTGGCTTTATGAGGCCATGATGAGAGCGAGAGCTCTGGTGATCCTGGACTATCTCATAGGCTGGTAGTTTTTTTTTACTCTTTGGATAGAGTTTTGAATGATCACCTTTGGACGGTTTAAAGAAAAAGTATTTTTAAAGTTTGAAAACTATAAAATGAACTCCTCAAGCACTTGTCTGTAGCAAGAGAACAAATAAAGAAACTCAAAACGGTGTGTTTTTTAGTTTTATAATGGATCCAGGCAGAGGAGAAAACAGATATTTCTTCAGAGTGCCAACTTGTGCTCCGCTGCATTGATGGAACACACAATGACTTCATTTCTCTGCAGAAAGCTCCATCCGAGTCTGTTACTGCTGCATTAACGGAGCATCTTGTTGCCATCATGCTAGAGGATCAGAAAATTAAGCTAACGTGTGATGGAGTCAGTGTCAGAGCTGCCCTGCAGGTGTTCAGATAAGAGTCAAAGACATGGACGCAGAATTCCTCTGTGTCCACTGCTGTGAACCAGGCCACCTCTCACATCTCCAAAGAGAGAATTTGTTTTACTGACCTGGGTGGGTTTGCCAAGAATACAGCTGCTCTTGATAAAAGGATGATGGAAAATAATATAGAAGAGGCAGATGGCCGCCCACCCTGAGCCATGGTTCTGCTTGAGGTTTCTGCCTGTTAAAGGAAGTTGTTCCTTGCCTGTGTCGCCTAGTGCTTGCTCATGGTGGGAATTGTTGGGTTTCTGTAATTATCTTCAGAATAGGTCTGACCTGCTCTGTTTGGAAAGCTGTGAGACAACTGTTGTTGTGATGTGGCGCTATATAAATAAAATTGAATTGAATTGAATGTCTTTTCAGAAAGGTCAGCAGCAGACCCGTGACCACGGTGACCACTAAGAGGTCACTTTCTACCTTAAAAAAGTAAAAGACTTCCTCAGAAACAACGGGACAGCCTGTGCTCGCCATGAGAAAGAGTTTTGTTTGTGAAATTACTCATTTAAAGAGAAAGCTATGGAACAATTTACAAGCAAAGAGAGGAGAACAAGTCTGTGTTTCAGTAGACTCCAGCCCCCCCCCGGTGTTCGTTCCTCTGTTTGCCACTTGGGGGCAGCAAAGGTCCACAGTTTCCTCTGCACTCACAACCACACAAACACACACAAACAACAACACACATGTGCACACACCCACATGATGCCCAGACATTTTTAGCCCTCGCTGCAGTCTGACTGTGACCACGCACAGGTCTGTTTGGAGGAATCTGGAGCTGCTTCCAGAGATTCAACCTTTTTTCCATTTACCGTTAAAGATGGCTGCAGATGTGGTGGCCATTTTGGAACCCGCTGACAGCAAACACCCAGGAAGCCCACACCCTCTCTACCTGTAAGATAAGGCTCCAAACCTCCGTTTTTGAGAAGAATCATAGTTTTGGGAGGACTCAGGGGACCCTGAAATGTCCAGCAGTAAGACTGTTATAGGCCCAGAATGATGGGGGATCTCCCATGATGCACCTCTCCTCCCTTTATTGTCCCTCTTTCTGTCAGGTCAGCATAACAGGAAAGGTCCAGCTCAGTGGCTGTCCCTCTGATTCTGATGGAGGTTTCTACCTGTTCAAAGGTTTTTTTTTATATATATGGGGGATTGGATGTCAAATCAGATTTAGTCTGTTGGGTTCCTTGAGTAGAAAACTTATTTGAAATGGCTTTTTATGTATTGGATTTTGGTAGAATGAACTTGAATTGATTGGATTAAAATTGTATTGCAGGGAATTTGATTTTAACAGATTTGAAATGCACAATATCTTTGAAGTGCCAAGAGATTATGAAAAGTGCCATTTGTAATAGTTATCTATTCAAATGTGAAACAAAACATGAAGGATGTTTGCTTTTGAAGTGCACAACAACTCCTCATTTTAAATGATTCCCATAAAACCATTCTGTCTTTGGTTTAGGTCAATCCATTCCTATGTGGCTAGATAGATAGATAGATAGATAGATAGATAGATAGATAGATAGATAG